CTCGTGGCCTAGAGGTTAAGATGTTCACCTCTCATTCAAAGGTCCCGGGTTCGAATCCCGGTAGCGACCGAAAATTTTCTTCACTAAATTTGATCCTTTCACCTCCTTTCCTGTTCTCTAGCAATGTTCTGCTGTCTGCGTTCGTCTCCTCTTTCTGCCCCCACCCCATCACCTCCTTTGCCTCCTCCACTGGGCTCCTGACTCTTTCTGCAGCCTTTCTACTGCTTCTCCTTGGCTCCTTCTTACTGCTGTCTTTCAGCCACACCCCTGATCTTCTGGTAGGAAAGATCTACCCCTAGCCTTCTCGGACAAAGGCGAAAACTCTCGGAGGTTCCGAGTGCAAGGTGCGCACATTTAAGATCCCTCGGTGGTCTAAAATCGATAAGAGTAGGCTTCAGCTGCCACCCGTGCAAAATTCAAAATTTCCTACCAACTGAAAATATTAGGTGTGACCCGCGCGCTCATATGACCTTATGTAGTTACGAGCGCCGTGAAACACTTACCAAAAAGCAAAAAATGACCAAACAAAAAGAAAAAAAAAAAAAAAAACCCGAAAGAAAAAACAAACAAAGGTACTGTAGTCTTGTGGTTAGGCTACCGGACTTGTAATCATGAAGTTACGGGTTCGGGTGTTCGAGCCGCGGGCCCGACGTTGTGTCCTTGGGAAAGGCACTATACACGAATTTTCCTCACTTCACATAGGTGGGAATGGGTACCCGGCAATAGACAGCGAAAGATCTTGGCAGTATTTTAGCGCATATAAATGGCTGCTTGCACTGTATGCTTCCCAAGAAGTTGAGGTTGTTTCAGAATGCTCTCATGTCTCCTGGGGTAATAGTATTTTTAGTAGAGTTTTAGTAGAGTTTTTACGGCGCTCGCAACTGCATAAGGTTATATGAGCGCCAAGTGGGGTAATTGTACGGAATATCGTGAAGCCCATAGAGCTTGCTGTTGAGCGGGGATTTGCGCTATACAAATGCTATCGATTTATTACTTGTGCTAGTACTGTGCTACACTGTGGCCATACAAATAGGGCAGGAGATATTCGGAGACGTCTCCGGCGAGCACCCAGGAACTATTTGGAGACGCACTCTCGCACACAGATGCACAGCTTTGGGGGGGGGGGGGTGAAACTGCGTATTATTTACTGCAGATCACACTTATAGCTATTAAAACTGTTGCAAATCAATTACTTTCAAGAAAATTTCAAACCTAAATTCCAGATTATGGGTTAAAACAGCCTGTAACCCCCCCCCCCCTGATTTTTTTACTTGGTCTAGAGGTACAAAGCATTTTGATTGGTTTATCTCCGTCGGAGACGTCTCCGAATAGAAACTGCGGAGAACTACACCTAGGTGGCTGTGATTTGCACAGAACACGTTACCGGGAAAGAGTATATATTCATTTTTCACGAGTTTTTTAAATTTCTTATTTAAAAAAAAATAAATTTTCATACTAGTGCCAGTACCGCGAAATTTCTTTATATAGGGCGAAAAAGTAATATTATTCTCCAATGAATTTTGAAAACGTTTTTCAACGAAAAAAGCTCCTGGTAATTATCTATCTATTTTTATCCATAATTTATCTCTCACACTCATAATTGTCCTATTTACAGGTACGCTTACTCACAAAGAAATATACATAGACACACACACACATACATACACACACACACACACACACACACACACACACACACACACACACACACACACTTGCACGAACACGCACATCCACACACGCTCGTATAGACACTCAAACAATTGCGTATAAATGCTTACACATGAACGTGCA